AGAAGACACAAAAGATGGAAGAGCATTCCATGTTCATGGATCGGAAGGATAAACATTGTTAAAATGTCTATACTGCCTAGAGCAATCTATACTTTCAATGCCATCCTGATAAAAATTCCACCAGTATTTTTCAACAAGCTGGAACAAACATTCCTAAAATTTGTGTGGAACCCAAATTGTTAAGGAAATGCTGAAAAAGAAAAACAAAACTGGGGACATCACGTTGCCTGATTTCAAGCTTTACTACAAAGCTATGATCACCAAGACAGCATGGTACCGGCACAAAAAGAGACACATAGACCAGTGGAACAGACTAGAGAGCCCAGATATAGACCCTCAACTCTATGGTCAAATAATCTTTGACAAAGCAGGGAAAAGTATACAGTGGAAAAAAGACAGTCTCTTCAATAAATGGTGCTGGGGAAATTGGACAGCTATGTATAGAATGAAACTCGACCATTCTCTTACACCATATACAAAGATAAACTCGAAATGGATAAAAGACCTCAACGTGAGGCAGTAATCTATCAATATCATAGAGGAGAACATAGGCAGTAACCTCTTCGACACTGGCCACAGCAATTTCTTCCAAGACATGTCCCCAAAGGCAAAGGAAACAAAAGCTAACATGAATTTTTAGGACTTCATCAAGATCAAAAGTTTCTGCACAGCAAAGGAAACAGTCAACAAAACAAAGAGGTAACCCACAGAGTGAGAGAAGATATTCGCAAATGACACTACAGACAAAGGGCTGATATCCAAGATCTATAAAAACTCCTCAAACTGAACACACACAAAACAGATAATCACGTCAAAAAATGGGCAGAAGACATGAACAAACACTTCTCCAAAGAAGACATACAAATGGCTAACAGACACAAGAAAAAATGTTCATCATCATTAGCCATCAGGGAGAATCAAATCAAAACCACACTGAGATACCACCTTACAGCAGTAAGAATGTCCAAAACCAACAAGGCAGTAAACAACATGTATTGGAGAGGATGTGCAGAAAGGGGAACCATTTTACACTGTTGGGGAGAATGCAAGTTGATGCAGCCAATTTGCAAAACAGTGTGGAGATTCCTTAAGAATCTTCCTTAAAAATAGAGTTAACCTATCACCCTGCAATTGCACTACTGGGTATTTACCCCAAAGATACAGATGTAGTGAAAAGAAGGGCCATCTGTATCCCAATGTTCATAGCAGCAATGTTGCTGCTTTCCAAACTGTGGAAAGAGCCAAGATGCCCTTCAACAGACGAATGGATAAAGAAGATGTGGTCCATATATACAGTGGAGAATTATGCCTCCATCAGAAAGGATGAATACCCAACTTTTGCGTCAACATGGACGGAACTGAAGGAGATTATGCTGAGTGAAATAAGTCAAGCAGAGAGAGTCAATTATCATGTGGTTTCACTTACTTGTGGATCATAAGGAATAACACAGAGGACATTGGGAGGTGGAGAGAAGAAGAAGAAGTGAGTTGGGGGAAATCGGAGGGGGAGAAAAACTATGAGAGACTGTGGACTCTGAGAAACAAACTGAGGGTTTTGGAGGGTAAAGGGTTGGGGGATTCGTTGAGCCTGGTGGTGGGTATTATGGAGGACACGTACTGCATGGAGCACTGGGTGAGGTGCATAAACAATGAATTTTGGAACACACAAAAAAATAAAATTAAATTAAAAAAAAAACTAAGACATTCTAAAGCAGTATGGGGAGCAATTAATAGCTCAGGCTGACTAGAAAATAGAATGAATAAAAGAGAATCTGCTAGCCTATATATCCTAGAATAGTAGAAGTAGTAATTACTAGGTTAATTCTGGGACATAAAAGTATACAACAACAAAAAGACAAAACAGGATAAGGGAGAAACTTTTTTTCCTGTTAAAAAAATTAGGCCTTGATTAAAAGAATTTACCTGTTCTATAGTTCTGGATATAAAACTAGAACAGATTAATCTTAAAGATTTCCATTTTGTTTTCCCTTAAACTCTTTAAAGTATGATGATGACAAAGGTACTCTTTCTACATGTCTTTATTTCATTGGCATTGGAAACTAATTTTTACAAGCTAAACAGGAATAATTCTTGGTTATATAAGTACTACTGTTATTTTCAAAAACTTGGGACTTTTAAAAATAATTAAATGATCATTTAGTAACAGATTTTATTTGGTAACTATCAGGTCTTTTCTTCAGTTTCATAGACTTTCTAAAATTCAATGATAGTCATTTTTCTAGGAAAATAGCCAGGTTTAAACTGTTTTAGTTTAAAATTTTGTCTCTTAGCTTCCAAATTTTTAAACACACAAGTCAATCAAAGAATGTATTTGTGACTAGTCTTCATTTTTATATTAATTTTAGTTTTGCTTTTTGCTCCATGCAGACAGATCTAGACTATTTCCTCTAACAGTTGTACAAGTCTGTCTTACTGCTAAGGCTAATAAAATAAGAGTGTACTTTATACTTTAAAGGAAAAACAAAACAATGCTTACTGAAAGTTCTCGGCTAAAATTCTAAATAAAAATATACTCTTCCCTCAGATGGCACATCTTCTTCCCTTTCATCGTCTCAGCCTTTTCTTCCAAAGTGAGGTTCCTTAGTTTTCTGTAAACATGATTCCCCAAATCCACAATTCCTCTTTAAAGAGGCGGCTGATTTCACTTGTCATATCTAGCTAAATGCTGAAACTGGTTTTCTAGTAGTCGTGGTGATAGGTTATAGTGAGTCACCCCCACTCCAACCCTTGTGACCGATGGCATGTACTTATGAGGTAATGGGTCAGAATTCAGGCTCCAGGCTGTGGTTGAGGAGCAGCTTTTCTGTAAGACAACGTTAACTGTTACTGGAATTCTACCCCAAAACTTGGCACCACCTTGCAACTGAATGTTTCTTAACATTTACAGACAATGATGGGTTCTCAAACTTGTTAAATGAGATATATCGAGGAAGTACTGAGGGTACTGGGGGTTCTCCCCCTAGGTAGTCATCCATGGACATCCCCCCATGGTGACCTAAATAAATCTTGATGTATATGAAATTAGTCAGGCCAATAAGAGCGGGGGAAGGGAGTTCCAAGGAGAGAAAAAAATTCAAAGACACCAAAAGGGAATAGGTGAATGATATATTGAGAGAACTGCAAGTAGTGTGCTACAGCTGCAGGAGATAGTAATGTATGGAAGAGTGCAAGAAATGAAAGAGAGTCTGGATCTTGATGATAAACACATCTATATGCAATTCTAAGATGTTAGAATATGTGTCAAAGGCAACTGAGAGTCACAGAAAGTTCTGAAACAAGAATGAAGTGTGAATAGATCTACTAAAACTTTAGTGACAGACTGAAAGAGAATAAGGAAACCAATTAGGAGCTATTTTAATAATTTAGGTAAGAAATGATGAGGGCTTGAACTAAATAGCAATGGGCATGGAGTCCTGTGGTCAGCTGTGACATATATGAAAAACAAAAAAAATCATCAGAACTGACAAGTAAGGGACAGGGAAGCAGATAGAATCAAGGATGATTTTAAAGTTTGTGGTGTGGGTAGCTGACTGAAGTAAAAGATTATGAAGTAGGTTTAGTCTAGGCAGAGGATGAAATGAAGCCAGTAGGGGGTAAAGAGATTGGATATCCAACATATGCTGATGCTTACTGGACTGTTAGTTTTCCATTACATTTTCTCTAGAGAGAAAAATCATCATTTTAAAGGTCATTTTAGCTCTCTGTTATTATAGGTCTACTGTGTATTTCCAGAAGCAAAAAAGAGGTCATGGTCAGTGTTAAATATATTTATGACATATATTCCAATGAATACCAAAATGGATTGGACCCGTATGTTCAATTCACATTAAAATATATGTCACAATCCATCTGCTTTTAAAGTGTGTGTGTCAGAAACAATTTCCAGAACAAACGCCAAATATCCTGGAGATGCTTGAGTTCAAATTACCAATATGTGTCCCTGTACTTAAACTGTTTGCTACTTGGATATATACTAAATGTAGATACATGTTTGAAATCTGTCCTTACAGACTTTTAAAAAATTCTTAAATATTGTTTTTAAAAGATAAAATATGAGAAAAAGACTGTTTTATGGTGTTTCACCTCCAAAATGCACACATTTTCTTGAAGGGCTGAGAGCCAAGAAAAATTTCAAAGTATATTGCTAGTATAGTATGAATGTCTGGATAACATAACTAAATATATCAGTCCAGTCCAGCCCCAAACTGGACTCTTTACATGTATCTAGATACTTGAAAAACACACTAGCTCTGAATAATCCATTAAGATATATTTTATCCAGAATGAGCTATGTAGCCAGGTTTGCTTGGATGGAATAAATTATTGTCAAATTTCTGAGCCACGATTTGTCAGCATTTCTCAAAAAAAATTTTTTTTATAAAATTCACACAAACAGATATTTAGTTTCATAATAATTATTAATGTGGACCTAGAGTGGCTTTATCCTTTTTATTTCTCAATCTGGCTCAACTTAGATTATGGTAGAGTAAATTTCCTATACACTAAGGTCTTAAAAAATGAATGAATGAATGAATGAAAGAAGGAAAGAAAGAGAATGAAACAAAAGGAATGAAAGAAAGAAAGGAAATGAAGAAAACAGAGAAAGAACAAGAGGAAGGGAGGGAGGGAAAGAGAATAGAAAAGAATAGAATAAAAAAGAAAAGAAAAAGGTGGCATGAAAGAAAACAAAAACTTCTTGTGGACACTACTGTGTGCAGCTAAACTGTCATCAAATTCCATCTCTTCCGGATGTATGGATTCATCAACAATCTATTGAAAATGCTTCTACAATGTGCAATGGCTGGTTTTAGGAACATAGGATGGATTTTTCATTTTTGTAACATTAGTAGAGACACTATTTATGAAAGTGGTTTCCTCAACCATAAAACACTGTATAGTAGAAAAAAAGAGAGCTTGGAGTTTTTTTATTATAACTGCTAAATTTAAAATCTTGGCATAATATTAGAAGAATTACTTACTCAAGAAGATCTGGGTCTAGTCCTTCTGATATCATTTTGTTTCTTATTGCCATCACTGGAACACCCTAAGCAAAGGACATAAGATAATCAATGATTAAAAATGCCTTCTTCATAAAAACAGATAAATAGAACAATGAAGGAGAACTGAGAGGCCAGATATAACCCCAAATACAGATGGCAAACTAATGTTTGACAAGGGAGCCAAGAATGGAGAAAATAAAGTCTCTTCAATTAATGATGCTGGGAAATTGGATAGTCACATGTAAAAGGAAACCTGATCCCTAACTTACACCGCTTACAAAAATTAACTCAAAATGGATTAGAGACATAAATGTAAAACCTGAAACCATGAAACTCCTAGAAGAAAACATAGGAAAAAAGCTCTTTGATATGGGATTTGATAATGATTTTATGAAAATTACCCCTAAGGCACAAGTAACAAATTACAAAATAAGTGAGACTATATCAAACTAAAAAGCTTCTGTTCAGCAAAAGAAACCACTGACAAAGTGAAAACAAATACGGAATGGGAAAAAATATTGACAAGCCATTTATCTGATAAGAGGTTAGTATCCAAAATATACAAAGAACTCAGGCAACTTGATAGCAAAAAACTTAAATTATGCAATTTAAAAATGGGCAAAGGACCTAAATAGGCATTTTTCCAAAGATAAATGAATGACCAATAGGTACACAAAAAGATGCTCAACATCCCTAGTTAAGAGAAATGCAAATTACAAACAATGAGATATCACCTCATGCCTATTAAAATGGCCATCATTAAAAAGATAGAGATAACAGATACTGGCATGGATGTGAGCAAGGGAACCTTGTGCACTGTTGGTGGGATTGTAAACTGGTAAAGCCACTACAGAAAACAGTATGAAGATTCCTCAAAAAATTAAAACAGAACTACCATATGATCCAGTGTATATTAACCAATTGCTGGTTAATATATTCAAAAGAAATGAATATACTAACTCAGAAATGAATATACTAACTCAAAAAGATATCTGTAGGTCCATTTTTGTAGTAGCATTGTTTGTAATAGTCAAAACATGGAAACAACCTAAGTGTCCATTAATGGATGAATGGAGAAAGAAGTTGTGGTATATATACACACAATGGAATATTATTCAGCCATAAAAAAGAGACAATCTTACTATTTATGACAACATGGATGCACCTTGACGGCATTATGCTAAACACACAAAGACAAATACTTTACGATTTTATTCTACGTTGGTTCCAAAAACAAAAGCAAACCACCAAACTCATAGAAAAAGAGACCAGATTTGTGGTAAACAGAGGCAGGGATGGGAGTGGGTTGGGGGAAGGAGAGGGAACTGTATAGAAGGTGGTCAAAAGGAGAAACTTCCAGTTATAAGATAAACAAGTAGTAGGGATGTAATGTACAACATAATGATTACAGCTAACACTGCTGTATGATATATAGGAAACTTGTTTAGAGAGTAGATCCTAAAAATTCTCATCACAAGGGGAATTTTTTTCTTTTCTTCTCACTATATCTTTATGAGATGATGGATGTTAACGAAACCTATTGTAATCATTTTACAATATAGGTAAATCAAATCATCATGCTGTATGCCTTAAACTTATACAGTGATGTATTTCAATTATTTCTCAATAAAACAAAAAAAAATTAAATGAATAGAAGCTAAAATAAAAAGCCTCCTTTATAGCCTCTCCACATACCCGTTAAAACAAGACCTTTTAGATGGCTCATATTTAAAATAGCTCTTTTGATGTGGTATATATATACAATGGAATACTATGCAGATATCAAAAGAAATGAAATCTTGCCATTTGCAACGACGTGGATGGAACTAGAGGGTATTATGCTTAGCGAAATAAATCCAACGGAGAAAGACAACTATCATATGATCTCCCTGATATGAGGAAGTCTAGAAGCAACATGGAGGGTTTGGGGGTAGGAAAAGAATAAATGAAACAAGATGGGATCAGGAGGGAGACAAACCATAAGAGACTCTTAATTTCACAAAACAAACTGAGGGTTGCCGGGGGTAGGAGGGTAGGGAGAGGGTGGTTGGGTTATGCACATTGGGGAGGGTATGTGCTATGATGAGTGCTGTGATGTGGGTAAACCTGGCGATTCACAGACCTGTACCCCTGGGGCTAATAATACATTATATGTTAATTTTTAAAAAAAGTAAAAAAAAAAAAATAGCTCTTCTTTTGCTTTTATATTAGCATGTATGGAGTGCTTAAATAATCTAATAAGGTACACATTTTAACTGACTTAATGGAATCAGTGCTATCTAATATCATACAAGCCCAAATTAAGTCATTTAATCATTTGAGCCTATCCATTACTAATTCTGCTGTAAACAAGTCAGATATCACATTCTCACTTTTCTTACACCTCCAAAAAAAAAAAAAGTTGATAACTCAAAACGATTAAAACCTTGGCTGGGATGTACAATAAATACTTAACAAGATGAGTAAATGTCTTTTCAAATAAAGATTTCAGAGCTTTCCATTCTTAAGTATAGCTATGTTAATGTTCTTTTCATAACAAATGGTCCAATTCCATTTGGACACAAAGGTCAAATAAAATTCAAGAATTCTCCTGGGATTGTATTATACATCTTGTCTACCCCAATATAAACACTAAGTAATGACAATGGTAGTAGTTTACAAGTCACAAAAACATTGAGAACATGTGAATCTCAAAATTCAGGATAAGAACATCAAAACAATAAGAAAAAGACATGTCAGAAATAAATACATATTTACTTGAAAAGATGACTGATTTGATGATAAACAGTTACTGAAAGCTCACTTGTAAAGCTCTACGGGAAGAAGATGCAATCAAGTCTGCCAATTCCTGCTCTTCGTATCATTCCAAAAGATGAGGAAACCACTATTATGTGTTAAATTTGAAAACCTGCAATACATCGCTTTCAAAAGTGGAATCACTGTACTTTAAAAGGCTGTTCACATGGTTGGGACCCTCTCTGTAATATCTCTTCATCCCATGTGGCAGAAGGGGTAAGCTGAGCCTGAGCCCACATGGGAAAAAGCTCAATCACCGCTCCACTGGTGTTGCATATTCTTCCCTTCAGGCCTTCAATGTCATTAGCCACTGTGTGATATTCAATTCAGAGAGATGGACACTTACAGGCATCCTAAATGTTATGTTAGATGTGCTGTCTCTCTCTCTCTCAAAATAAAAAAGACTCAAAGTAATGTACACTTAAATGCATCCTAAATGTTAGATGAAAATAAATAGCACCATTGTAGAATTCTCTTCAAAGCCATACTCCTGAAAACAATACTGTTTCATGGTGTAAACTTCAAGAAATTCTAAAAAGTGAAATATGGTAGGTTTGGAAGACAAAAAAGGTGGAAGATAAAAACTTTTGTTAGCTTATGAAGTTTAAGGATAAAAAAAAAAAAAGGCTGTTACTTGCTTAGGGGCATCCAATATGAACAGACACTTCTATTTGGAACCAAAAAGCATGAACTTAAAACTTGTACCACTTTTAAAATATATTTCCTGGAACTAAGACTTGAGAAAAAGATTTTTCTCTTAAGTACAAAATGTACTTAATGATTACTTCATAATAAAATGCATTTAATTTTAATGGTAGAAGAGAAAGCTGACACTTGAAAGATAAGGTTGGAAATTTAACTTGATAATTAAAACTTAGCCATTACTTAACTATTTAGCGTAACAAGGAAAGTTAGGACTGTAGAACATTTCATAAAAAACACTAAAGTGCAAGAAGAGATGTGAAAAAGAGCAGAGTTTTATGTTCTACTTCTTTAAAAAGACCTCTCAGTTTCTGGTAACTATGGTCTGATGGTATAAGGTCTTTCTACAAACTCAACTATGTGATTTATTTATTATACTTTAGCATAATCCACAGGATCTCATTGGAAAGGTCATACTAATAAGTTACAAAGCCGAGAAAACAGAAGGGAGGAGAAATGAAGTTGAAAAAAACATTTCCTAAAATATAGCAAAGAAAGTGTGTATGAGGTGGGAGTGAAGGGAAGCAGTGGGTAGGGAGTAATGGGGAAAGGGAATTTGGTAGAATTAGATAAACTCCCCATTTTAACAAATCTCATAAAGCTTGATACAAAAATAATTTGGCCTGTATTCCAAAGGATGGATTCCAAAAGGGATTTGCTGGCATGTTTCCAGTGGTGTTGCTTAGAAAATTTGTTGTTTTGATATATTCTTCCGTAGGGGTTAAGGAACAGAGTCGGGTTTGTTAAACATCAAAAAGAAGTGTCCAGTTTCCGATTTCCAAGAGAAAAAGCTACTGGTGGTCTAAGTTGGACATGAGAGACCTCAAAACTGAAGTCTACTGAACCGTGGGATTATTCTTGGCAAGTGATAATGGTAGTTTGTCCAACATAAGTAATGAAGAAGAAAGAAGGCAGCCATAAGTTTGATGTTCCAAAAAATCACGTCTGTATTTGCGTCACTGGAGAAAGTGTGTAAAGAAGCCACACTAATGAAATTATGATGGCAACACTAACAGTTACTAGTTTCTTGTATCACAAAAACTGAAGGCTGCCAGTATTTACATTTATTATGTTAATGGAGGACAAGCTACTGAATTCTTTTCCTGAATTCTTTCCTGAAGTTTTAGATTAGAAAGGGGGAGGGAAAAAAAAAAAAAAAAAAACCCTTACTCAATCTAATAGAGATAAAGGACTTTTCTCTTCTTTATAAAGTAACAAAAAATGCTCCTCATACTTTAGTTTCTCCTCTCAGTTTATAGCTTGAATCACAACAACTGAGTTATGAAAGATGCAAAATATTAAGTTTTTTCCCCCTTACTTAGGGCAACAATTGAAAAAAAAATATATTGAGTTGACAGATGAAGAGTACTTTTTTTACTTGCAGGGAGAGGGAATGAGTAGGAGGTGAGGAGATGCCATGGGTTGGAAAAAAGGCAACCAGTCCTCTAATCAGGTTGTTTACCTAAATTTTAACTTAGTGAAATTGACTCAACCATTTCTTTGCTTTCTGATTGTCAACAGTGCTATCCTAAAAATATTATACTGC